GCCTGTGTTGTGGACCAGGTCCTTAGTAGGGGCGATGTGAAAGGCAACCACACACTGATGTTTCTCTCACTCTTTCTCCCTCACCTCCCCTCTCTCTAAAAATAAATAAATAAAACCTTAAAAAAAAGAAGTACAAATTGGCAGGTGCAAAATAGACAAGGAGAGGTTAAGAACAGTATAGGAAATGGAGAAGCCAAAGAATTACATGTATGACCCACAGACATAAACTAAGGGGGGTATTGCTGAAGCAAATGGGGTATACAGATACAGGGGGGCAAAAGAGGAAAAACTGGGACGACTGTAATAGCATAATCAACAAAATAGATTAAATAAATAAATAAATAAATAAATAAATAAACAAATAAATAAATAAATAAATAATAAAAGTGAAAGACAAAGAAAAAAACAAACTTTTTGGCCAACCCAATATCTATTCCTAGAAAGCATTATTTTTTTTCAAAAAAGCGTTCCAATGCCCTTTTCTCTGGGGTTCCCACACTAACTTTTCCTTACATGTTACTTTGTGTTCTAACTCTTTATCCATCTAGCTCATTGGTCTTTTGACAGCAGTAGGAGCTTGATAAATATCAAACACATTAATAAATTAGGAAATAAAAACCACTGCCTATTTCCCTCACTCTGCAAGTAGTGAAAAACATTGTCTGTGGGCCTTATTTTCAAGGCTCAGGAGCTGAATTAATGCTCATCTTCGAGGATTAGGGGAGCCAGATGAGAGCCTGAGGACTAAGATGTCAACACACTTCTTGGGGGAAAGCCCCAGCACTACTTATTTTGGGGGGGATGGGGCTTTGTAGACTCCCTGCTGGGGATCCACTACGACACACGTCAACCAAACACCAGCTCCACGGCTTACCTTCCCCCAACATCACTGCTGCTTTTTATATCTCTCCCTCTAGGTTGAGAGTTGGTGGTAGGGTGTGGGGACATGTGAGGCTGAAGTGTCTCCATACTCTCAGCTCTGCTCTGGTAAGTGACCCTAATCACTATTTTGAGTCCCAAAAAGCTCATCAGTCAGTTTTCTGGTTAAGTGTGGCCAAGACTTCAATGCAATCAAAGACCTGTCCCTGAGTTCTTGCTTTGTCAACCCTCCCTGAATCCATCTCCATGGATTCTGAGTCCAGCAGTCCAGGTGCACCCGGGCATTAGTCTGCTTGTTGTCGTCGTCATCGTTGTCTTAATAACTCCTCAGAATCCTATACAGTCATGTACAGGATGAAATCCTGGGGTGACACCAGAGCTCTAAGCAATAAAGTAACGAGCTGTTTCTCTTTTGTATTCTAATCATTCCAGTGCTGAATCTAGAAAAACCAACTTTGCGTCATCTGCATCAGTCAGAAACACAGAAATACGGCTTTTATCGAACAGGCAGGTATTCCGTACCCATCATGGGTCCGATATGATGGGATGCAATGGTCAGCAATACCGAAGAGTTGTATCTATAAAAAAGATACAACTAGCTTACATCACTGGTATTTGGCAAGAAGCCTGAGCTGAGCTCTGTTTCTCTCTTTTCATTTATTTATCATCTAACACTACAATTCCAGACCCATGAGCACATGTCTAGCACTGAGACGAGTTTTGTGGATCTCTTTGCATAAATACTGCCACTTGTCACTTCTCCTGCTCCTCAATGTTTGACACCAGCTCTCCTTATCCATAAATGATTAAACACCCCAAATTACTCAGAATGGTTGAGGCCCAAGTCTTTGTCCCCCAAACAGATTTTGTTCCTGTAGAGATGTTGGTTCTGGTTTCATGTGGTAGTTACATAGTTTGAGGATCAATTCTTCCATTGCATGTGCACACGATGGGTATTAATTAATCTGTCCCCTCCCCATTTAAGACTCTTTCTAAACTCACAAGTCAGTGACTTTGTCTATTCTATTGGCTCTATATGCTAGCACTAATAAGCTCCCTTCTAACCAGAATGTTCCCCAAATATGCAAATATATGTGAAAACACACTTCCAAATTAGGCTAAAAGCCTAAAACAACGTGTTTCCATCACAGATGTGAAATCCAGTACCTGTTCCTAGGAAAACTACTGTCCAGGAATGACTTAGCAGCTGACATTAATACAGCCATTATTTAATAATATCAAGTTTTGATTTTCAGCTTTTAGTTTTAACTTTACAAATTAAATTGTATAGCTATATGAACAAAGGGGAACCTCTCCAGACACAATCAGGTTGAAGCCCAGTTGAATGCCAAGGCCTCAAAGTCCTTAAGGCTGCTTGTCCCAGGGAGTGAAGTGTGGACCCCGACCGGGATTAGGACTGGGGAGTTCGAGCATTTTTTAATGCTTGTTTTCAACTTGAGCATGGCACAAGGATAGGTTAACACAGTGACGTGAATATTGCAGGCAGCAGTTGAGAAGGCAATGGGAAAACAGGTTCTGGCACTAGCCTGAGTAGAGGTCAAAGCCAGCTTCTGCTGTCTGGCTGTGTATGCCCCTCATCAAACTGATGAACAGTTAGTTCGTCAAACTGTAGCCCTCAAGGGGCCAAACTGTAGACTTCTAGCCTGCTTACCTGTAAATTGGAGCTAAAAATGCCTGCCTCACGGGATTTTGTCAGGATTAAACAAGATAACAAAAGTAACTAGGATTGCCTTCCTTTTCTCTTCTTATAATAGTTTTGGGAAAATGATTGTCAGAAAAGAAGCCAACGTAGTTGACTGCAAGAGCATGTGTGGAAGCTAAAAAGACCAAAGGCATTTAAAGAGTTTGGAAATTTTTGCCTGCTACATTTCAAGTCCTTGGGGGTTTTAAGAGATGAACTCGTGTGCTTTAGATCAGCACTGACTGACAGAAGTTTCTTCAATGATGGGAGTGTTCTGTATCTTTCCTGCCCAATGCAGTAGCTTTTGGCTATTGCACACTTAGGACATGGCTAGTGCAACTGAGGAACTCACTTATTAATTTCACTTACTTTTAATTACTTTAAATAGCCACACATGGCCAGTTGCTACCAACTCGAACAGGGCTCCTTGATATCTTTCTGACTCTAAAGTTCTCCCACACCAGGCTGGACTTGGGGAAGCAGAAGAATATGAGTTTAAACACATGGACTCTGGAATCGGACTGCCTGCATTCAAGTCCCTGCTCTGCCGCTGGGGGATTGCACGGCTCGTTTCCTCATCTATAAAAGAGAAATGCTAGTGCCATCACCTGTCACATGTTAGATGGCACATTTAGACTCTCATTAAATGTTTAAATAAGTGTTGAAGGGAGGGAGGAAGGGATGAAAAATGAATGAAAGAGGCAATAATATTTTTTATGAAGAGTGAAGAAAGCATCTAAAATGAAATAAACAAAATCTGAGAGCTTTTGATCAAAATTTCAGCGAAGATGGCCATTGGAGATGAGGATGAAGTTAGGTGCTCTGGGAGGTGGGGGGGAGACATGCTTCCAAGTTCAGTGATGGTAATGACAGTTATAGGAGAATCAGGGACAGAGGAATCTGACCTTAAGAATATTTATAGATTCTACCTCTATGAAAATACATATTTCAATTCTTAAAAGGGTGTCCAACCAAGGTTCTTTAAGAAAATACTACTCTGGGTTGTGTGACTTTATTTGTTCGTATTATAACCATCAGAAGTGAAGTCTGTGTTTTGCTGACTCCCCATTTCCAAGTTTTTATTAACACTACATCCACCCGTTCCCACACCAAAAAAAAAAAAAAACAGTGTGGGGCAAGTTTTCATAGCTGTTTATTCATTATAAATAGTAAATATTTACTGCACTTTTTACATGAAAGACATTTTTACAACACATTGTTGTTGGCAGAGGCTGCAACACAAAGATAGAACTTCTCTCCATCCATCACCCTCTAAGACCAATGCATGAACTAAACTCGGTACTATGTCTAGTCTCTCTAACCCACTATGTCATAGTTCTTAACTCTAAAGGGAATGTATTTGTGCCTACCTCATTCATGGTTCCGAGAATAGAAAGAAATAAATAACGCTGCCTTCCCCCTTCTTGTTCCTCTTAACACTTCAAAAAACCAATTTATTGACATTCTAAAATGTCACCACACAAACGTATGTAAACCTCAGTCCTATCATCTTTTCATATTGATATCATTGTATAATTTAAAAGTACATGAGAGCCACATGGACATTTCTGTTCTTGCCCTGCCTTTCATAGAAAAAAGAATGTAAACGTAGTCATTTTAAAAGCATTATTCTCAAACATGTCCTCTAGTCAAAAGGAGCAAGCCGGGTGTTGGTTGTCCAGCAAATAGCAATCACTGCATTTGACCACAGTGAATCATGAGCTGCGAAAATAAAAGCACCTGCAAAAATATAGTTCTGATTCTGTTTATATGACCCTGGCCGTTGCCAAAGCTTCCATGAGGTACACAGTATTGCACACCGGTAAGCAGCTGTGGAACTCACGTCACTGCTCCACCCGCCCTCCCCACCCAGTCGGCTTCTACGTGAAAATGCTTGGAGACCCGGCATACACCTCTCCCATGCTGGGAAAGAGAACAGGCTTTTTTCCTGTTACCTCATGTCCTATTAGCAAGATGTGCCCTTCTGGGACATGTAGTAACGACCTAAGTACAACTGAGGATAAGATAACAAATAATTTATTTGGGAGGCCCTTTACGACTAGTCTATAACTTCCTAAAAATGGTGGCATTTATTTTTATATCAATTTCCAGTGTGTAAAATGAAGGATTCCTCCATTCTTGCTTCATTAAGTGAGCAGTTTGAAAATTGTACAAGTGTCAGCATTGGCTAGCAATCATGTTATACTTTAGAGAATCTCCAACTATATTCTAGAACATTCAGTTTGCTCAGACCAGACCAGATAACCCTCACACACACATGTGCACGCACACGCATGCATGCACACCCATGCACACACACAAATGGAATGTTTTCCCTCCTTGATCATCAGCACTAAAGAGCTGGGATATTTGATAAGTAGCCATGTTAAGTCATTGCCTTAAAATGTTGCATTCATCTTTATTGTTCCGGGTCTTCCCCTTCTCCACTGCTTTTGTCCAGCATGTTCAAAAGAATTTGAAACCAACTACTGGAGAAAGAAAATCCATCATTCTCCTTTTTCTCCTGCTAAGACTGCCCCCCCCCAAAAGGGTGATGTGTTTTTCAGAGAAGATTTTTCATGTTTCAGCTGTGGAAACCAGAACCAGGGCCAGTTTCGGCTCCAAGTGGACAGTCCATTTACGCGATATCTGGCTTGAGATAATGAAAGGCACCTGTAAGAAAACACACACAGCTTTTTAGGTCATGCTGGGACAATTCACAGCAAGGGGCAAAATCAGATACAGGCTGACAATGTCATATTTAATACTATGGTATCAAAGGATTGAGACCAATATTTTTATTCCTGAGACAAGTTTGACACAACTCTGTGTCTTTCAGATTACACTCCACGTGATCCTTGAGCTGACCTCATTAAGAACATGTGTTTCCAATGCCAGGGGTTATTTCATTTCGGCCAACCCTCGTGTTTTACCTAGTGGCAATCAGGTTTCACATCTCAGCAATTAATAACCGCAAGATATTGTTGACATCAGTTAAGAAAATAATTGTACAAGCGAGTCCCTGCTTGAACAATCAGCTGGCTTTGCCACAATGTTGATCCTGGGCTGTGAGGCTGAATCGGGCCACCACCTCCCCTTGTTCAACATTTCTGACCCTTCCAGAAGCAAATATGCCCTAGAAAGTGCAAGGCTTACTTTGTCCATACTGCCCATACTGGTAACCTGTGACAGCATCCATACTGTAGCCGGTGGTGCTGTAGGTAGGTGGGCAATAGGACTGAGACGTTGGCAGACTGTCCAAGCTCTTCATGTGCTCTAGTCTCTGACTGCAGCTGGCCGACACCGTGGTGGTAGGTTCCAGGCCTCCAGTGAGAGGGGAGAGAGCGTAATCGGTCTGGGGTTGATGGGGTACCCCACCGTGGTTGGTCAGGAGTCCCATTACCTAAAATAAACAGGCAGATTTAGGCAGGTGTGAGAACATGAGGGAGACCAGACCATAGGGTATCACTGACAAAACAACTAGAAAAGTTTCCATTTTTATTTCTCTGGAAATCTACTGTTAAAGGGCTGTCCGGAAGACAGCGAGCTCAATTCAACGTGGCAGGGATATTACACCATGCCCGACAACTACATCTACCTGACTGCAGTTTCAGCAAAAGGAGAGGGGAGGCCATCTGGGGAGAAAGAGAAAAGAAAAAGAAGGAAGGAAAAGGGAGAAAAGAGAGACGGTGATAAAATCGAACCAGGATTTCAAACAAGGAGAAGGGAAGGAGGGACACAGGGGCAGAGCTAAGGAGAAATTATATCTGCGCATACAGAGTAATGTCAAACCATATATTACATCTATTTTGCATGTCATTTGAAACAGGCATTTGCTCATTATGATGTTCAAGTTAAATGAATTCAAATCAAATTCTTTTCCTTTATTTTGAGATCTCTGTGTCATTTTTTCAAAGTGTTCCCTCTCAAAGTTCCTCCCCATCTGGGGCACCCATCAGTAATTAGAAATAATTAATCCACCCCTGATGCTTCCTTGTACTTCTCTCACCCCTCCCACCGTGTAATCATTACTTCACTCACCTACATTGAACTGCAAGAGATCTGAGGGGAGTAACCTACTCAGCTTTGTCTGCCCGGTGCTTAACACAGTGCTTAGCACTTATTAGGGAATGAACAAATGAACAGGTGAAGGAATGAATAGTAAATGATTCTCCAAGTAACTGCTTCCATTGCTTATTCTTCCATTGTTTTTCTCTAAGCTCAAATTTCATATAAAATAAGTGTTGAATGAAAAGAAACACCCAAAATGCAAACATGTTATAAAAAGTCCACTCTGTTTTGTCAATAACCCTAAAGAGCAAGCGAACTTAAAAAAAAAAAAACCTGTGATAATAGAACCACTTTCAGATTAGCACAGTGACATGCTGCACAAACTCAGGCTCGCTGACCCTTACAACACCTTGTTTCAGAAGTAAGTGGGTAATTAATTTTGCAGCTGGAAACCTGTCACACGAGAGAGGAAGGGATTTTCCTCAAGTTCATACAATTCAGTGGCTGGGCTGATAGAAAAAAATGGACTGCTGGGTAAAGAGCCCCAGGTGCTCCCAAAATATCACCTGCTTAAGAAGTATAGAGAGGCAGGGCCCGCACTGGTACAGTACTGCCATAATAGTCCTGTTGTGTTTTATGGTGTTTGAGGGCTGTGAAGCTTGAAGTGCACACAGAAGAGCAGGAGGTGGGGGCAGCAGTGAAGCCCCATGCCTGACTCTGGGCCTCCTGCTGCCCTCCAAGGAAATTCAGGCCTTAGAAGCCTGGCTAGGGGGCCTCCAGCAAGGCGAGAGGAAGAGGCTAGTCTTGCATCCCAGAAAACATCCGAAATTAGATTCCAAGAAATAATGAGGCCACAATCCCCTTCAGGAAGGGTTTGCATAAACCTCACAGCTAAACACAATCTTCTTGAAAGAAAGCTTTAAACTGATCCATCTTCAATGAGCTCCAAGAGATGAGAGAGACAGAAAGAGACCCACCACCTTTTGTAGATTACCCCTGTCTCCACTTCTTGGTCAAAATGTCCAACTTTTTAAGGCCATTTCCAGATTTTCTTCAGCTGTGTGGTAAAATATCTGTTTAAAAACCTCTAAAAGTTACACATAGTCTAAAAAAAATCATCGTATGCAACAGAGCATAGTTTTGCTCTATTGGTGATTTGGGGGAAATGAAAATCACAAAATAAAGTAAGAATCAATAGGATTCACAGCTCCAGAAGAGTGGAGAGCCACAGAGCTGGGGCCGCTTGGGGACCTACTCTACAATTTATAGTGAGTTATTTAATTCAGTTTCTCATTTTAAAAAGTTGAACATAAGTTAGCAAGCACTGAAGTTATTTCCTGAATGTTCTTCCAACTACGTGGGTTTTCTTTCTACCTTTCCTTAAGTTGCATAGATGATTTTACAGTGCATACTTGGAAAATTTATAGACTCCAATTTACATAATAATTTATTAAATATTTCACTTCAAGCCAAAATTGCATGTCTATTATAAGGAAAGAATCTTCAAAATAAAGGTTGTTTGGTACAAAATGCAGTCTTAATTAAGTCAGAGGTACCTTACCTCTTTGTGTGCTGGTATAATGGGCAAGAATAGATAGGGAAAATCAAAATACCAAAAAAGTGATTTTTTAATGAAAAGGAGATAATGGCACAGGGTACAGATATTTTACTGTAAATAACCTGTGCTTAATTTTTAAGAAACACATAAAAAAGGCAATTCTGTAAATGTATCAATCCAGGGAAGAAAATTATCCAGTGGTACTAGGTAAAAAGGAAGATATTTTAAATTAATAGCATCCTTCACAAAGACAAATACTTGGAACTCAGTTAATGGTATGTCACTTTAAGGAAGAAATGGAATACTCTACATACAAGTATAGCTGGAGAATAAGAGCAGAATTTCACTCAAAACATGCACACTCTCCCATGAGCTACATGTACATTTTTGTGATAAAGTTTTTTTTCATCCTCTGCCGTACATTTCTTGTTTGCATAACTTTGAAGGCAGCAATAACTTTTATCATGGGGAAAAACCATGAAGATTCTTTCTTTTTTTAATTTTATTTAGTTATTTTTCAAGTACAGTTTTCTGTCCCTTTCTCCCATCCCAGCCCCCCCCCCACCCTGAACCATGAAGATTCTAAAAAAGAAGAAATGAGTCCTGCCTATAAGGAAAATTCTGCTTCTGATGTTCGTGGAGCGACTTTCTGCAGTTGCTGAGTTAGAAAAAGGGTAGGACATGATTTAAATCTAAGACCTTGAAATATATCTGTTGGTGGGTGGAGAGAGCAGGCAGAGCCCATATTCTAGAGCAACAGAGAGACAGTCCCTCAAAGATTCCAGGGTACAGTGTCTTTAAGACAGAGGGAGCATGACCCAATCAGAAAGGACAGCTGTTGGGAGAATAAAACAGAAGAGATGCTTATTGGGTCTTCCTATCGCTATTGCCACTTGTCACACATAAGAGGCTAGTGACAAGTGGCTCCTGCTTTAGCAATAGCTCTTAGCTCAGCAGCCCAATACTTGCAGTGGCTAATGTGAAGAAATTAAGAGGACCAGAGACCAGTGACCTTTGGTCCCTTTGATTTCCCTGATAGAGCCCAAGAAATAAGACATTCTCTTACAAACTCGTATTTCCATTGTGATCATCACAAATTACAATTGTGATTCGTATCTCAAGCATTGTATGAGGATGAGGAAATGCATGCCGAAATTTTCCTACATTTGGTTGCAAAATGAAATTAATAAATAATGATCACTAATGCAATTTATTTCAATATTTCACACTGGTAAGACTTGAGAAATGTACATTTTAATAAATTACAATTTAAATTTTAAAAATGAAATCTCTCTTGGAAAAAATACTGAATATACAAATACAAAATATATTACTTTCCCCTGACATAGTTTTAAACCTCAAATCTCTATGGAAGGGTTCCATTACACTCTTATGTACGTTTCTTTAAAAACTATTCTCTATTTCATGTGGTTTAAGGAAAGCTATGAATATTTCTTTTGCTGCACAAAGAAGTTGGTAAATGAACTTCTTGGAACCATCCCCTATCCCCAAGTATAGTTATGGAATGTCTTCCAGTCCTTTTCTCTTTTAGAATATTATCAGGATTTCTTTTGTACATTCTTTTCCTACAGCAATTGTAATTCAAAACATAAAACAAAGTCTTAATTTGTTGCAAAGTGTGTTTTTTCCTCTTATAAACCATTAGTTAGTAAGTTATCCCTACTACAGGTGTGGCCACTTTTGCCTGACTTGTTTTTAATTTGGAGTAGGAGGAACACAGTTGCCTGCCTTTCACCAACTATTTCAAAGGAAAAGAAATCAACTTAACTCTGTTTCTGGAACACTGGCCACATTAATAAATGCCATATAAATATAAAGGGCATTGTTAAAAAAAAAACTTCTACTCATCCCTCCAAAGTTTACTGACTACAGTAACTATATTTATTTGTTTAATTTGGATATCACTTATGTCCAGAACCAAACCAATATTCAAACATCCATCCAAATGATTTTCTCAGTACGTGTGCCACTGAGGTCACCTAATGGTCGAATCGCAGTGACTACATCTCCAAGGCTGAAAAGCCTACGTTGGAACAGCAGAGATTTTCCACAAAATGTTGTCTTCAGATTCAAATGCCTTAGGAATTATCCTGCAGTTGATTAGCATCTAAATAATTAGATTTTTGGCCCTGTCTGTTTGAAAGCTATATGAGGAAAGTGGCCCGAAGGCAGAAGTTTCTCTGAAGGTAAGCAGGGTGACCTTCTCACCCGGACCCGAGTTATGGGAGGGGCATGGCTGACCTCTACCAAACCTGACAGAAACCCAGTGCCTGCAAAATGCCCCGCTAACTACATCATTATTTTTTATTTTAATCATTAGCCCTTTTTACAAGTAGCTATGTTCAATAATGATGAAAGAGTGTGAGTACCAGACAAGTGTGATTTGGATGCTGCACATGTTTTCAGGTTTTATTTGTGAACAATACAGTCAGTGCTGTCTCCATTAAACTCTAAGTAGCACCTATGTTTTAATCTCCAGTCCTGTGACCAATTACAGAATCAGTTCTATTGTATCGATTCTTTAGAACACCTATTTCTTAATAGAGCTAAGCTATTATAGCGGTAGGAATATTCTTTAGGGACTGATGCCTAAAATATAAATGTAGGCAAAGAATTAGCATAGAAAAGGCTTGCAAAATGCATGTATATGTACATACCGACATATATCCATAGTATGTATAGTTTACATCTAGCTATTAATGAACAATCATATTATGTCCATCTATTACCAGCAAAAGAAGGCCCATTATAAAAAGCTTATTCTATCCAAATGCAAAAGTATGCCAGTTAATATTGGTATTTGAGTATGTTAG